TCGTTTATCTAGGATGCTCGTTATTCAAAGGATGGTACTAGGATAGGTACTCACCACGGACTATGAGTGCCACTATTTTCTGATAAATTTACCCCACTCTAGGAGAAAAACACTTTTAAATCAGATTTGAACGGGAGTAATCATAGTGGTCATCTTATATGCCGTCCACCTTACATACAGAAAATTAAACTGGTGGCTAAATTCATGACATTGAATGAGTGATATGAGGGCATTGAGCAAATTATGAATCAATACAATAAAAAAATGCCCAGCAATTTACGCCAAACATCCACCATCGCATCTTCATCTCTTTAAGGAACCAAAGATAAAATTTATTGTTACTGTGTGATGATAGACCAAACAGCTGAATGAAGATATTCTCAACAGCAGCTAAAGTAATAGAAAAATCTTGTCATTTGATAATAAACAGTTTTAAGGGAGCTTTGACAATTAAACTGTAATAGATCTCACTGCAATTAGAAAGACCAAATGAAATTTGGTCTTGGAGGACTTGATTATGCGCCAATTAACATACTAAACATACAAAATGTATCAACCCAATTTCGCCATCTTTACATACGGTAGCATATTAGGAGTATCAAAACCTGAAACCTCACTAATGACGAATACGAGGTTCATTTACAGGGAAAAAATGATGTAATATGGGTTAAATATACGTCTTGCACTAAAAGTTATCAAGTAAAACAGAGTGACTTGCTTCGATGACCCTGAGACAACTAAAAGCATGAGAATCATGCAGTACGCCGTAAAACCTTACCTTGGAGCAGTTGTGCTTCACGATATGCAAAGGACACGTGCCTGGAAGAAGAATATTCTAAATACAAATGGAATGGAAGGAACCGAGGTCATCAAATGGAGTTTTTCATTACTATGTCTACTCTGTGGCCATAGGATTGCACTTAGGCAAGAATGCTGCTAACATGAAAACGATGAGTGTGTTTTGTTAACGATCGTACTTCCGGGTGAAGGAAGCATCTCAGCATATCTATCACAAACTATATGTATGCAAACAATGGAAATATACATCAAGCAGGAGCTTCATTCGATGTTCAGAATTGATCTTTTCTTTGTTCTAAACAGAAGAATGATAAAACAAATACATGGCAACACCGAAGACAATTATTACCGTCTTTTTGTCATGAAGCCATTCTCTAACCATTGTGTCACAAACACGTTCGCGCTCTTCGTGAAGTCTGCGTTGTTGCTCGATAACTGTGTCCATATTCAATCACTGCGCTAAGAAGATGCATTCAAATATTAAAATGTTAGGCCGCTACTTAAAAAGAAAAAGCGAAAAACAAATTAAATTTTGCGCACAGCCACAGCAACAAATCAATCATTTTACTTATCAGCGCCTGATCATTTTCAGAAGTCCTTCACTACAACTTCATTTTTTATGCACAATGAAAAAGCAACTTTCAGTCTCTGGCTGCACAGAGGCTTTCTGATTGGTCATATATCCTATGCCTTGCCAAAAGTTCCCCATGACAGAATATAAACCACGTGCGACGGCCGCTCCAAGAAACAGGCAGTTTGTGTAAAAGCTATTTCTTCAAAGGTCATTTTATTGAATGTCCGCAAAATTTCACATAGCAAGGTAAAAAGTCACAACTAAGGCGTTGTGGTACAGAAGCAATGAGGTCAACTTTTAACTCCGGAGGTGGTTTGATTCTGCTGAAGACAAACTTTTTGTTTTGTGCGAATACCCTCATGCAGGGAATTAACCTCCACCTTGCATCGAACCAACAAGGCGTCAGAGGGGAAGTTGAATAAGTTATTGAATAACAATGGCAGCACAGTGCTCCGGTGTGATCACACCAGAATGAGCAAAACGTACGACCACGCGAGCGTTTCTTAATGCTGCAATTCACATTGAAAATCTGAGTGGACGGTGTAACCAAAAATTTGATTTCGAACATTCCATGAGATATAATCATCAGAGTAGTACAAAGAAACATTCTTTATATCTGAATCCAAGCAAAGCCCAGAGTAATCAGATAACATTTACCAGCAACGTTAAGTCGTCGATGACGGATTTTCAGTTTTCCATTACGGTAGCTTTCAACGGGTTCGACGGGCATGGAAGCCTTCAACAAGAATTAGTTTGCATTGTAAACGACACATGATCCCTACAGATGGATCCAGCGCCGTCCGAAACGGCACATATATTCTGGAGTAGCTGTCACACTGTAGCTTTCCAATCATAACTGCTGGTAATCGCACATTTCAGTTTCTCATATTGGATATACTCAGCGAAAGTGCATGCACCGTCCGTTTAGGCAGGTCATGGTATTTAAGCACCGGCGGTGGGTCAGATGAAAAGGAGTGAGTTAGGTAAGGGTTTAGCCGAACAGTGGCATGTCGAGCAACAACTACGTCTAGATACAAAGCATATTTTCCCTACGCTGTGTAAACTCGGAGAAGTAATAGGAGAATATTAATCTTCTCGGTAGTATTGAAAGCTAGCAGATTACTAGCATGCCCCCAATATCGAGGTTTATTTTTGTTCATCATCCCAGTGTTATTTGGCATCTATGATACATTAGTTTACCACGAAACATTTAATGGTAACTTTTAAAAGCCAACTGAAATAAAACCACGTCCGAAGGCAAGTACAATGTACTTTACGAGGGAATAAACAATGAAGAATAACCTACGAATTTCAAATAAACCGAACAAACTGACGGCTGCAAAAGTATATTTCATAACGGAAAAAAATTTGATTTTCTGATGCAAGAGTCGTTCCGAGTGTACACACTAAAAGCGATTCAACATTTCAACTTACAGAACAATTAGTTTTAGGCTAAGAACATACAGAAAAACGGTTTGCCTGTCTACTAGGTTGTTACATCAACCGAGATTTGAAACTCTCATACAAACACCATAAACATGGCATTCAATGCATTAAGAAAATATTGATGCTTCAAACCAAGCACCCGGGACGCTCATCGTACTCTCCGGTATCTATACGAGACCTAACTTCATTTACTGTCGAAGCCAAGATTACGTTACATTCATTATAATGCATACTTTGGCATTGGCAGAGTAATTCGTACGTGCGTCAGTTGTCATACTGAAAAAGTAGTGTAAGACACAACGCAAAAAATACTGTGATCAGTCCGGTAGCTGACCAATACCGACGTTTTGTCTCTCTCTCGCGAGCCTTATTCAAAGTAGGTTGATGGAAGGTTAATCTTCTGCAATAAAAATAGAAATCAGTCTAAACTCGTTAATGATATTATAAGCGGTGGAATAATCCTCTCTAAACCTATTTGTAGCGCTAACAAGACTAATATTGAACCTTACTAAAATCTATTATATCATAAAAACTTTAGTGAAAAGTTACAAAAAATCACTCAACACTAAATATAATAATAATGCAATATATAAAAGCTCTAACTTAATGCATTATTAAGCAATTCTGAGAAAAATAACCTTCTAGGCTAAATTTAAAAATTACAGTGTAACTGCGAGAAATATTACTTAGAGCAAACCAGGAACACCGTCAGGCAGAAAATAAAGATCCACCTGTCAAGTTGGAAAATGTGGACGATCGTGGACAAGCATCAGCTACAGGTGGTAACGAAGCATTCAGAAAAAAACAAAGTCTCGCCCCAAGCAAAGTCAAGGAACCATGCAGGAAGACTTCTGGGATTGTGCAGCATGCGGCCAAACAAGGACACCCCTTTTCGTTGGTTTGAGAGTAGCGGGATGCATTCGCTAAACAGGCAGATAAAGG